TTTTCAATTCCTTATCTAGTGATCTAAAAACTATAGAAAATTATACGGTTTCATCTTTTACAGTAAAACTAAAATTCTTTCTCCAATCACAAAGTACAACATGTGCAAACATCCTGCGCTATGTGCAAACATGTTGTGCTTTGTCAATGCTTTAATTGGTAACATGTCAGAAAACATGTACAGTCATATACAGTTATATGTAGTATCTTTATGAGGGACATAGAGACGAATACCTTAGTGGTAACTATGTAAATATTGTTTTTTTTACCTCTTTAATGAAATGTCAACTAACTAACTAACATGTGTCATAAGGTGGTTGCCAGAGGTGCCATTGGAAGGCCTTTGACTCGATCAGGTTGATTTTGCGTCCTTCGCAATTCAGCTTAGCTGCAAGTTAGGATGATTCCTTTTGTTAATTGTGAGGTCCGTTTTCTTAGTTTTTCAATTTTACACCGGTTTAAAAAATCACGATCCGGTGGATAACGCTACATGTTGTCCTATAGTCATACGACTATAACCCCAGACCGTTATATCATATTGCCGTTTGCTTGAAGTTATTGCTTTAATAACCCATTTTAGGCTGTAATGCGCGCAAATGCGCCCTACTTTACTATTTTACTCTGCCTCACGCCAGACGATCTTACTTGTCAAAGGAGAGTTTTCGCTTCAATATATAGCTTAACCAAACAATCTGCCAATGTGTCTTGTTAACCCATTAACATTTTGCTCTGAGGGGTGCCGAAAATTCAGGGGGCAAAGCCCGCATGAAATGTTGAGATTTTTGGTCTTAGAAATTATTGGTCTTAGGGACTGGTCATAAAGTAACTGCTAGGGTGGGCTGGAGGTAAATCACAAATTTCGCCAATAAGTTTGGTGACCCATCTTGGGATGTAGATAAAAATTTCAAAGCCCATCTAATCTTACCAAATTTATTTCATGACCCACCCACCCAATCTAAATTTGGAAAATACACTTTTATAACTAAAAAACTTGCAGGTATGAACATAATTGTAAGTATACACCGGCACTGTATTGACATACATAATTCCACCAAGCTTGACCAACACATTCATCACCAATTACTTTTATTATTAATATCTTTATATAATATATAATTAAATTAACATGCGTTTTTGTTTGGTGGCCCAACTGTGGACATACAAAAAAATTGGTGGCCCATCGAAACTGCCCAATGATTTTCCATGGCCCATCCCAAATCACTCCGGCCCACCCTAGCAGTTACTTTATGACCGGTCCCTTATCCTACTTTATTATTATTTTACTCATCCTAACACCAGACGATTTTACACGTCAAGGGGAGAGATGGGTTAGTATCATCACGGGATGACTACAGTATACTGGTGAGGGCGTATGATGCACTCGCAATTTCAATGTTTGGAAATTTGAGCGTATGATACACTCGCAATTTCAATTAAAACCGACATGGTGTTTCAAACTTCAGATTTCTAAGTCGAATTTTACTCAACCTAAAAAGTTTGTTGTTCAACGCAAAGTAGTGTTTACGTTTTTTGTCACAACTCTCAGTTTAGTATATACGACAATGGAATGTGTTGTCAAACTCGAATTTGGGATGAGCAAAACAAAAAACACAACGCATGTGCCCCAGCCTGAATTTCAGACGACCACTCGTTGGACATCTCAACGAGTGACCGCCTGTAATTCAGGCTAAATGTGCCCAAATTCAATAAATATCGTTTTCGTTTAGACTGAACACTTGCGATGGAGTGCGTAAAAACAGGCTTTAAAATATCTTTTACAGGGCCGTCTGACAAAATGTCCGATGACTTTGAGTTTGGGTCGGACATATGTATGATGATGTCCGATGACCTTCAGTTCAATTTGGCTCGGAAATAAGTCTGAATAACGCAAATTAATATCAGCACAATGTATTAATTCTGAACTAAATGAAAACATTTCTGGTTCATTTTTGTACAATACTCTAATTCTCCATTATTACATACGAGCCTCTAGTCCTGGACTAGGGTACATTTTGATTTACGTGCGTGGAGAAAACGTCGGACAAAGTTACAGTTCAGTCGGACACCAATTCACTCGGGTCGGACAAACAATAAATCTCAGTTTCACTTAGGTCGGACACAATGTCCGGTGGTTTCCTCTCTACGTCGGACAATTTGACGAATGGGTCGGACAATGTCCGTGACCGACCGATATTTTAAGGCCTGACAGTAAAAATTATATGGCATATTTTATTAGTAATGGTGATTCAATGGTTCTTTTGCAGGCAAAATTGCGCAAGCGTAACAAAGAAGAAACAGCTGAGAGTTATTTCTTGGCCGGAAGATCTTTAGTCTGGTGGATGGTAGGGGGATCCTTGTTTGCCAGTAATATTGGTGGTTCACAATTTATTGGTGTGTCTGGTGACGCAGCCGCAACTGGTATTGCGGTCGTCTCCTATGAATGGCAGGTATGTTATAGTACGTTTGCCATGGTATGGTATGGAGTATGCCATGGTTTGGTATGGTATGGTATGGTATGGTATGGTATGGTATGGTATAGTATGGTATGCTGTGGTATGGTATGGTATGGTATGGTATGGTATGGTATGATATAATCATGATATATGATATATGGTATGGTGTGGTACGATATGGTATGGTATAGTGGTGGTGATATGGTGCATATGCATGGTGTGTTGGTGGTTAAGTTTGCCAGTAATACTGGTGGTTCGTGGTTCATGGTTCATGTTGATTGGTGTGTGGTGTGACGTAGTCGCAACTGGTATTGCAGTCATCTCTTATGAATGGCAGGTATGTTATAGTACATCTGGTCTGGTCTGGTCTGGTCTGGTCTGGTCTGGTCTGGTCTGGTATGGTATGGTATGGTATGGTATGGTATGGTATGGTATGGTATGGTATGGTAGGGTATGGTTTGGTATGGTATGGTATGGAGTATGCCGTGGTTTAGTATTGTTTTCTGTGGTATGGTTTGGTATTGTATGGTATGGTATGGTATGGTATGGTATGGTATGGTTTGGTATGGTATGGTATGGTATGGTATGGTATGGTATGGTATGGTATGGTATGGTATGGTATGGAGTATGGCATGGTTTGGTATTGTTTTCTGTGGTATGGTTTGGTTTGGTATGTTATGGTATGGTATGGTATGGAGTATGTCATGGTTTGGTATTGTTTTCTGTGGTATGGTTTGGTTTGGTATGGTATGGTATGGTATGGTATGGTATGGTATGGTATGGTATGGTATGGTATGGTATGGTATGGTATACAGTGGTATGCCAGCGATATGATATGGTATATAGTGATGGTGATATGTGTATGATGTGTTGGTAGTAGTTTACCAGTAATATTGGTGGTTCGTGATTCATGTTGATTGGTGTGTGTGGCGATGTAGCCGCAACTGGTATTGCAGTCATCTCTTATGAATGGCAGGTATGTTATTGTATGTTTGGTATGGCGTGGCGTTGGCGTGGCGTTGGCGTGGCGTTGGCGTGGCGTTGGCGTGGCGTTGGCGTGGCGTTGGCGTGGCGTTGGCGTGGTGTTGGCATGGTATTGTATGGCATGGTATTATGGTTTAGCATGGAATATGCTATGGTTTAGTATGGCAATGTATGCTATGCTACAAGTATGCTATGCTGTGGTATGGCATGGTTTGGTATGATATCTTATGGCAACGTAAGACTTTTGCATGATTATGTTTTTAGGCATCCTGGATTTTGCTACTTCTTGGATACTTATTTGTGCCTGTTTATTTGAAAGGAGGGGTAAGTACATAAATGAGTAGACTAACAGTGACAAGAAAAATTGAAGTAGTTGAAACTTGCCGAATTACTACTATACTAAGTGAGTAAACTTTATAAAAGTAACAAATCATAGATTTTAATCTTCTCTTTTATCTATAGATATTTACAATGCCCGAGTACCTTGAAAAACGGTACAAAAGTCCAGTCATGCGAGGAATTCTGACTTTTATTGCTTTAGTCAGCTATGTCTTTACTAAGATTTCTGTAAGTATATATGCAAATATTACCATTACCGTTTAACAGAATTTTAACGAGTCGTCCTAAGGTCGAGTCGCGAGTCGAGACACTCTCAGTTCGAGTCACAAGTCGAATCGAGTTGAGTCATTTCAGTATTTGATCGAGTCAATGCCAATGGCGGTTCGAGTCAAGTCACTGGTTCCAATCGAGACAATTCGAACAAATGGCTGAACTTGAGTTGAGTGAGGGAATCTATTCACGGGTTCGATTCCCACCGTGGTCAGGCAAACTTTTCAGCTTGCCCGGTGTGGATGCACACTCATGCAGAGTAACATCACAAACATAGTATAAACAGAAGTCAACAATTTTTTTATTCTGGGTATTTCTTACACTTTTCAGGTCGACATGTACGCAGGCAGTCTTTATTTCAAGGAGGCGACCGGCCTGAGTATTTATGTCTCTTCCGTTTGTGTTCTTATAATAACAGCCGTCTACGTTATCCTCGGTAAGCAAATAGGGACCTTGAGCAAACAAGACGGCGACGACGATGGCTATTCACACAATGATATTCCTGATCTCGCACAAAAGAAATGAATAATTAAAAGCCCCACGGGAGTTAGAGACGTTGTGTTAGTGCTTTTTACAACGGCAAAACAGAGACTTTCACGTCTCCTGTACAACGCAAACATGTCAAGACGCGACAAATGAAACTACAAATTTGCTCAGCAGAAGCGTTTTTAACCATAAAGCCTTTGTTTTAATTTCTTCAAACTGAACTCAATTCATATACTGACACATGCAGTGGATAATACACAACAACTCTTCTTCGCAATAATTTATTTGAAGAAGTTTGTTTTGGCTGTCGTCGTCGCGTTGCCGTCGTACATGCTTAAGGTCCCTAATGTTACGTGCATTGCCCCGCTCAACGAGGATGAGAGTTGATGAGAGTTGCAACTTTCGCTCGTGTTTGATCGCCACCTTTCATCAACTTTGAACTGGTTCAAATTTTGACTAGAATTGAAACTATTTGATGAGTGTTTTTTATACACGCGCGGTAATATCCGATCAATTCTCATCAACTCTCATGCAACTCTTGTTCTCGTTTGACCGCGAGGCACGAGGGTTGAGAAAACTCTAATGCAAACTCTCGCTTCTCAATTCTCATCAACTCACATTCTCGTTTGACCAGCGCTTAACAGTCGACCATCGACTATTTTCCGAGCACGCAAAACACATGCACCTATATGCTGATTGCTCTTCCCGGACGTTATGGCCGATCATTTTTCCACATTTATAATTTGAATAATTTCCCCTCGTTCTTGCAAAACCAAAACACAATCCCTTTGCAAAGGAACTCAGATATTACTTAGTTAGACTATACTATAATATAATATAAACTAAGAATTATAAACTGAAATTCCCTTGTTAAGGTATTTTGTTCAAATGAATTGCTATATTTTAAATTGAATTAAATTGTTCAAATTTCGTATGGGAAGTGAAATTACAGTACAGTACAATGCAATTTACTGTGCAAATTTTTTCTTTTGAGCCCTAAAATATATAGTCGTTCGATCATATCCGACCAAAACGTGGGTTGTAAGACCTTTTTAGGATTATATTCAACTCTGGTTACGTGCTAACAACATTATTCGTACTGGATAGCTCTATCAGTTCCAAAACTGTTCTTCGTAGAGCTCCAGTCAGGTGCTAGTTTAATGATCCAGTGTTACTGCAAGTGATGACTGAAATTATTAGTCAACATACTGTAGGAATCATATACTTCGTTCGCGATGGGTCTGGGCATAATATAAGGGTCTGGGCATAATATAACCATGATGACATGTTACATATCTTCTCATTTTTCTCAGGTGGTCTTGAAGCTGTCACATACACAGATGTTTTACAGTGCACCATTATGTTGCTTGGTGGAGTTGTGTTATCTGCTTTGGGTAAGGAATATAGGCAATGTTCGAAATAGTTCACTACAAATTTATAGCAGTGATTTTTATACCTTTGCCAAAGTGCCTGAAGCTGTGGAACTACGAACATGGGCCCCACAATAAATATACAGGGTGTATGAAACTGACAATATAGTCCAAATTCATGTTTGCGTGTGTTATGTAGATATACAGTTTATCGATAAGATTTTAAAACAGCAGCAACATTCAGCCAATTGAGCTGTCCATACAATGATACCTTTTGATATATCAATGATATATCATAATATATGGTCATTTTCCTTTAGTAGTGATTTGTATATCATAGAATATGGAGGAAAATGACTAAATATATAGTCTGTCAAGATATGATGGTCTGGAAGCCCGGCAAACTTCAAAGCCACAAAATAGAAGACCTTTGTTTGATGTTGAACTGTACCTCACCGTCTACAAATCCTTTGTCCCAGCTTCATGAAATATTATTCATTGTCGTTGCACGTTTCATCTCGGCTATCCCTATTGGAGGATTATTTCATTATACGAAAATACAATGAACTCAATCACCGTGACCGTGCACGAATTAACATAAACTGCAGGGGCGGAAAAAGTATCGGAGCACGGGACCATTGGTTCCAGAAAATTTTTTGAGTTCCCAGAAAATATTTCCCCAAGAAAGAAAAATATATCTGTAAAAATTTATATAAAAGGATAAATTTAGAGGAAAAACTCTAACCAATAGAAAGAATGCTACCTGTACTGCAGGTATGACCTCAGCGTGCCCCCAGATCCCTCCCTTTCTTGCGTCTGTAAATTTACCTCAGGATCAGACCCCTGATGTTATTTGAATTAGTTCTGTCATATTCCTAAAAGTATTATTAAGATTCTCAGTGCACTGTCACTGAAATTAATTTTTTCTGCGAAAATATAGCATGACCATCAATTTGACAACTTGTTAGTATTATACAGTTACAGTGTCCAAGTACTGATTTACTTGATTTATCACAGAAATTTTTTTATTGCCCTTTGTCGGTCCCAGAAAGTAAATATTTTTTCCACCCCTGATAAACTGGCACGAAAACATAATACAATGACTACGCTGAGAGTTTGAGTACGTTAAATAGTGATTATTTTTCTTGTAGCATTTGATAAAGTTGGTGGTGTGGAAGCATTATGGGATAAATTTGGCACTGTTGCTATTACTGCAGCAAACATGACAAGTAATACAACAATGAGAAATATGAGTGATTACAGTAATACAACGTCGAATGCAGGGTGCTATAGCATGACCCCATATTGGCCCAACATGTTTCGTCCTGCAAGTGATCCAGAGTACCCTTGGATTGGATTGTGGGTTGCCTTGCCTATTATTGGTATCTGGTACTGGTGTACAGATCAGGTGAGAGTGTGGAAGGGTGGTACATAGTGATTTTGGTGATGATGATGATGATGTTGGTGATGATATTGTGGGTTGTAATTGCCTTACCTATCATTAGTGTTTAGTACTGGTGCACTCATCAAGTGAGGTTAAGTGTTGTGTTAACTGTTGTGTTACGTTTTGTGAAATTGATGGTAAGAAGTGATGTTTTGTTGGTGATGGTGATGATGATGGTGTTAATGATGATGAAGGTGGCAATGGTGGTTGTGGTGATGATGATAGTGATGATTATAATTATGAAGGTGGTGTTGGTTACTATGAGTTGATGATGTGTTTGGTGATGATGATGGTGGTGTGGATAATGAGGCTGATGATGGCCATCGACTCATGATGGTGATAGTAATGCTGATGGAAATGGTGACGTTGATAATGATAATGATAATGATAATGATAATGTAATCATTACGATAATGATCATGGGCCTGTTGTTCAAAGCTGGGTTAGCTTAACCCTGGGTTAACTTAAAATTCAAAGCAAACTTTCCAAGAGCTTGTTTATAAATTTGGAAATATTTCTTCAGAGATCTTGTCTGAATCAGCAGGAGTTTTCTTCTCTGAACTTTTGAAATAAATAGACATGCAGAAATCCATAAACTAAAACAGCGGGTTAAAGTTTAAATGAGGCTAGCGTTAACCCAGCTTTGAACAACCGGCCCCAGGGTGTTACGCCGTTTTCCCAATTACGTTCAGCTAGCTTTTTCGCAATTTAGGCCTTCTAAAAATAACATGACTACTACTACAAAAAAAACACATAACATTGTTCAACTTCAAAACATCGCCAAAGAAGAATTTGGAACCAGACCAGTGTTACAAAAATGCCGTCTAGCCTAAAATGTATTGGACCGTTTTCAGTATACAAAAAATGTCGGCTGACGTCAAACGTTTGAATTTAGCTCAGCCAATCGGCCCAATCAGCGCCTTGCGATAGGCCACGAGACTGCCACTACTCAGACCGGTGTTGACGAATGTATCCTAATACGAGACTTTTCTTGACTCAATTTTGAATATTCCGGGCTAATTGAATTTCCCGATTTGATTAAATTGCCGGGGTTTTTCCTTCCGCGGCTAACACCCTGATGATGGTGATAGTGATTATGGGAATGATAAAAGGAAGAAAACTACCTAAATTGGACCGCACACCGATATCCATATGTTTTTCCTAGGTTATCGTGCAACGTGTTTTAGGTGCAAAGAACATCGTCCACGCCAAAGGTGGCACCATCTTTGCAGGTTTTCTCAAAGTCCTACCAATGTGGCTCATGGTGATGCCTGGAATGATATCACGTGTCTTGTTCCCGGACTCCGTGGGTTGCACAGACCCTGAGACATGTAAACAAGCTTGTGGCAACGAGTTGGGATGTACCAACGAAGCTTATCCAAAGTAAGTCCACGTGGTTGGACAGGCCTTAAAATATCTTTTACAGGGCCGTCTGACAAAATGTCCGATGACGTTGAGTTTGGGTCGGACATATGTCCGATGACCTTCAGTTCAGTTTTGACTTGGAAATAAGTCTGAATGACACAAATGAATATCAGCACAATGTATTAATTCTGAACGGTAAGTGTTGTGAAGATATTAAATAATTTGTTTCTTTCATACTTATTTCCAAGCCAAAATTAACTTGCTTGCCAGAACAGCAGTATTAAAAAAGACTTCGACAACTTAAGCCCGTTTTCCACTTCACCATTTCGCTCGCCGCCCTGCGCTCGACTACGTTAAAACAACATTTCCAGTTCACCTTTTATACAATAGTACTCTGATTTAACATGCAAGCCTCTAGTCCTGGGCTAGGGTAGATTTTGATTTACGATGGACAAAGCTACAGTTCGGTCGGACACAAATTCACTTAGGTCGGACAAACAACAAACCTCAGTTTCACTTAGGTCGGACAGAATGTCCGGTGGTTTCCTCTCTACGTCGGACAATTTCACGAATGGGTCGGACAATGTCCGTGACCGACAGATATTTTAAGGCCTGATTGGAAATTGTGTCATTCAGTGCATATTAGGTTTTGTCCCACCAAGTTTTATGGCAATAAAAATTAAGATAATTGCTTAATTTTATAGAAATTGTAAAATTATATATAAAACTGCCGATTTTTCATATCTTGCTTAGTTCTTGAAACATTTTGAAACATCTGCAAAAAATGAGCTGTTCGCCATCTTGGATTAGTTGTGATCTTATTAACGATAGTTTTGGTGACGTCGAGAGCAGGGTTAGCCATATAAAACTACTCCTATGTGACTTAGTAACAATTAGTGTCTGCTTAAATCTGCTTGACCATACATTTTCTGCTTTTCGAATAGCGATTAGTGAAATTTCTATTGTTAGCGCGTGCCGATTTCTTGAAACGATTTAATTGATTTGTGAGCTTACGAGAAAATACTCAGAATGATCTAGTTAAATATCATGGTTAAATATGACGTAAGCATATCCAGGTTGTTATACATCCATATTTTCGTATATACTGTACTTTAACAAGCAAAGTTACTGTGCTGCGCTGCTGCAACTGTCCAGTCACGCATAGGTAATAAAAAGCCGATAGAAACTTATAAACAAAAGATAAAGTAAAACGTAACAGAATAGCGGACATGCAGATTCGGCCATTTCAAATAATGGAAATGTTGGGATAGTAGCATTGGAGACTGCAGAGGGGAGTGGGTAGTAATGCTCCCTCGTGCACCACCCGGTGGAAAACTTGCACCCCTCATTGCAGATGAGGCTAGGTCCGGCCTGACATGCATATCAATGATCTAATAATTGAAGAACTGAGCAACTTTTAAAGCTGTAAAACAGGTTTCCCCATAATTTTAAAACGTCGGGTTTTTTTCAGATATTTTTTGTCACAGAATCGGTTTCGGGAGATAATTTAAATTACTCACTCCCCCTTCATCAAAACTCAAACAATTTCCCACATGTTTCTTCCCAAGATGTCGATGTTATTTAACTATTAAAACTTTGTATTTTTAGGTTGGTGACGAATATCTTGCCAGTTGGTATGGTCGGTCTGATGATGGCTGTCATGTTGGCAGCTGTGATGTCATCTCTGTCCTCCGTATATAACAGTTCCAGTACCATTTTTACCATTGATATCTGGCAGAAGTTTATCAGAAAGCAGGTGAGTGATGGTGGTGGTGATGATGATGATGATAATAGATTATTACCACTAACAATCGCGATGGCCAAAGACGTTGCATGCTTAGAAGCGTGGCATATACTGTAAATATGAGTAATCATGCTTTGAACAGGGATAAAGGTGCTTATTTGCCTGAAGAATATATCCATCTTGTTGTCAGATGACGTCATCCCGTGGGTATATAAGAAACCATGTTTCCTCGAAACGTTGGATTGTGAATGCAGTTCGACTGGGATTTGCATTCATTTATAAAAACCACTGAGTAGTGAGCAAAAACATGGATGGTAAAGATGGCGATCATGATTGTGCATGGTGATGATGGTGTCATGATAGTGGTGGTGATGATGATTGTGATGGTGCACGATGATGGTAAAGATGCTGATGACGGTGATGATGATTATGGTGGTGATGTTGGTGTTGGTGATGATGGTGTTGGGGTGCTAATGATAATGACAGTGAAACACATGATGGTGATATATTGTTTTTAAATTTTTATAGGCAAGTGAATGGGAGAAAGTCATCGTTGGTCGAATTGTTGTTTGTATTCTAGTGGTACTTGGTTTACTCTGGCTTCCTCTGATTGATAGTAAGTACAATTTCAAATTTTTGTGCTATGGTACTCTCAAACAGTAAATATCACGGGCAGGGGCGCCGGAAGCAATGCGAAGCGGCGGGGGCAGCCATTTCAAAAGGGCACTTGCTTCTCAGCCATAATGTTTCTGGGCAGCAATATTTGTTAAAACTTTACTGTATGGATACTCGATTACTTCTGGCTATTATGGGTCGCAAATTTCGACGTAATATATGAACAACGAGAGCGAGTGTTTCACCGGGATATCCAAACACGACAAAACAATGTATGAAAACACGAGCGCGAAGCGCGAGTGCTTTCATACATTGTTTTCGAGTGTTTGGACATCCCGGTGATACACGAGCTCGAGTTGTTTATATGGCTTCTCAAATGAATCGAGACGTAACAGAATGTTTTCGTTTGCTGATTTGAATAGAATTCTTAACCAAGCATAACGTAATTAGGAATTCTATTCAAGTAATTTTGCATGTGTAATTAAGATATTTGATGAAAACACTAGTGACTTTCATCAAGTTTCACCGGGTTATCCAAATGGCATCTTGTGGTCAAATAGGTGATTGATTATCATTGGCTGAATTGCTCAAGAATTATTAATGAATATGAGAAATTAATTTGAACAATTTTATTCGTTGCACCGTGCTAAAAGCGCAATATAATCAGTAAACGGACGTATATTGCTTGATTTAGCCCTGGGGCGTAGAGACGGGGAGGGGGCAAGGGGGCCAAGCCCCCCCCCCTAAATTCTCAGAAAACCTAAAAAGTGCCCTTTTTCCGGTGGCAAAGTGCACTTTTCCTTCGTGAAAATTTTTGTTCAGATTGCATTTTTGACTGACGGATGTAGCAAAGCAGCATCTGTGAGTCTTTGTGGTTACTTGAGTGTGAGGCAGTTAATTAAACAATGAGAAATGACCAGCCTGCTTGGCACGCACTCTTTGCCTGTGAATCGGGCCTTTCAGAACCGGAAATCGGGCTGGAGCACGACAAATGGCAAAATTTGCGCGATGCTCGTTTGCAAAAACAACTGCAAAATGCTTTATTCATTTGATTGTGGTGTCTTGATAATTTATTATACTCTAGAATCATGAAAATATAGATAGTTGACGAATAAAATTCTATATGTTCGATACAGATATGTAAACAAATCCTTTGTTTACATACGGACTGTACCGCATCTTTAAACATTGCTTAAAAATAGTTCTAAACTCAAACTCGTGTGAATAATGCGCAAATTTCGAGGTGCAGTTCTGGCAAAAACGGCAACCTGTTGCCCCCGTGCTGCCCCCGTGCTGCCCCCGTGCTGCCCCCGCAATGTTTGGGCAAGGGGGCAGTTGCCCCCGCTGCCCCCATGGCTCCGGCGCCCCTGATCACGGGGCAGCAGACGGTGCTCAACATCAGAAATGAGAAATACTGAAACTTATAGCAGCAAAGAAATTCTACTAAATTTCTCTTTTATTTATTTGTCTCCAAATATAAGGATATCACATATGATGAGAGACTTACATTATTTTTACCCTTTGATAAGCCGGTTACAGACGAGCAAGTTTCTGCGACAACTTTTCTTATTATATACCAAGTGTCAAATTTGGTTCATGTTTTCTTGCGTGTCATGCAGTCGAGCGTATCACCATAGGTGAAAGTTACAAAATTTGCAAGCTCTGAACGGTGGAAATTACTTTTATTCACCGGTGAATAATAAAATCGTCGAGTTATAAGCAAAGTTTTGCGTTTCTGTTTGTTGTTTTGTTTTCTTTGACACTTGATTTATAATCAGAATTAAAATACTTATCGATTGGGACGTTCGGGAAACAGTACTGTATATGTTTTGTGGATCCAAGACGCCAATGCATCCCTCAGCAAATGAACTTGCTAACTTTTGAACAATTAAGTGTATTTTTCATAGAATAAATTGGCAAATTTAAAATTTTTCTCGTCCGTATGGCTGAACAAATAGAATTTGACAGAGTAATTTGAGCACTTGCCTGCCTTTGTGTTTGTTGTAATATACAGCTTTCCCATGAAAACCTGCTCGACAATTCACGATTCCCCAAGGACCAACTCAACAAAAGCCATGGCGGCCATGTTGGTGTTCCAGACAAAAGAGTCTAATTAAAATTCTTTTGAATTGGAACACCAACATGGCGGCTGTGACGTCATGTGCAAACGCTCTATACAGTAGTTCAATAATAATTCATATCTCTATTATTTTTCAGAGGGAGGCGGTGGCCGTTTATTCAAATATATTCAAACCATTCAAATGTTGTTGGGTGCTCCTGTCATGGCTGTGTTTTCTGTTGGCATATTATGGCATCGTGCGAATGAGACTGGTGGCCTAGCAGGTCTGTATAACATGGTTTGCAGTAGAGGTGTGCAAATCCGATCCGAATCCGATCCGATCGGATTCGTTCGGATTTCGGAACAAAAATATACATTTCGGATCGGATCGGATTGATAAAGTTGTTTCGCGGTCGGATCGGATCGGACTTCGATATTCGAAATAAAATGAATTAATTATCACGTATTATTGCAAGAATTAATTATCCATGCATTTATCAAAGCATTATCGCGGTTGTCGCTGCATTTTTCGTTTGATACTTCAATTGGACGTCAAGAATGACATGTATTTCTTGCTTTGCTATTTATTTGGTTAAACATTTCAACGTGAATGAGAAATTTATTTTGTTAAAGGATTCTTCGGATCGGATCGGATTGGAATACTTTATTACAACTCGGATCGGATAGGATTTGGATTAGACAATTTCGGATCGGATTTTAAACATTAGCCAATTGTCGGATTATAAACGTCCAATCCGATCCGATGCACATCTCTAGTTTGCAGGGTTATTAATGTCTGAGTGCAAGTTGGATAACTCTGTAAATCGCGGTTTTAGAACCAGATACTGAGAATTATTTATATCTGCTTCGACATGGAAAAAAGTGGGATTTTGGAATCCTATATGCATGCCTTAGCAAGAAAATCGAGGAATATTTTCAATTCTTCACATATTAGAGAGATTTATATTTGACTTCCGCCACTGGCTTAGTACGCATCTGATTGGTTAATCGGATATATCAAATGTATCTGATTGGTTAATAGTCCATTAATAGTAGTGATAGTGGAAGTCAAATCTGAACCTCTCTACTGGTCTACTATATGTGTTACTTAAAGGTGTTTGATATCTGATAAAACTGCCTATCTTATGAGTTCATTGGCCAACGGTTTAAAAAATCAATGTTGTCTAAGCAGAGAAAATCAAAGCCACCGACACGTATAAAACCACCGACACGACAGTGATTTTTCTTTTTCTCTTCCTCGTGAATTATTAATGAGTTTTTTAAATATATACCATGATACTGTCATTTGAGACATGTAAATAAATTGGGGTAATGTACGTACGGTCAAATTTTCCATTGGTAGCAAATTTTACCCAATTTAAGTACACGAAATATTTTCGTAACGACTTAACGCTTGCCTTGGAGGACGCGCAGCATTTCAATTCTTTTTCAGAACCATTCTCCGAGATATGAAAAACTACAATCCTGGCAAAAATTATTGTGAACAGCGCGCGCGGAAATGGAAATACCTGGCCAATATACACGTGCATGCAAAACAGCAATGTTTAAGTTCCACCCTCCCCCCGGTTAATGTTGAAATTTATACATTGGTTAGGTGAAAGCTTTGCGAAATGCATGTCAAGACCAACATTGTAGGGGGGAGTGGGGGAGATAAAGACGCCAACAAGCCGGTATGCCAACAGTAATACTTTAGTTTACACCTCAGTGTCCACGAAAGTTCTGCCAGGATTGTAGTTTCATACTAGAAATATCATGAAACTAGTTTTTCATACCTCCGAAGAAAAATTATAACCAATTGTCACTCATGTTTCTAGGTCTGGTTATTGGTGTTATTCTTGGGATGTCGAGATTTATTGCTGAGTATATACATCCCACTCCAGCTTGTAATGAAGAAGATGTGAGACCAGCGTTTGCTTCCATGAACTTCATGTACTTTGGTAAGCACCACGCGTTATCGTTTTGTTTTGTGTTGTCACCGATTTTGACTCGTTGTCTTTTTAGTGCGTTTCAGTCAGAATTATGCGACAGCAGATTTTAACTTCACAAATTTTAGCTTCAGAAATTATTCAACTTCACAAATTTTAACACTTATAGCAGCCCGGAAACTGGCCCAAAAATTTCTTATTAATCACCAAGTGTACTAATCTGCTACATATAATAAGGAAAAAAAAAAATACCTGGGTTCCGGCCCGATCCTCTCTGCTTCAATGGGGACTGCCACACAGGCTAAATCCTACCTAGCTTCTGGCTTGCACTGAAATCGCCGTCCCTAATCTTTCTATTGAAGTTTCCAAATGGAGCTATTTTTCGTACCCAGTTCGTAGCGTTAGTTTTGTACTAGCTATTTAAAGTATACTAACAAGCTTTCATTAGTAGGAATGCAGCTACCTGAAAAATATAAGGAGAATTTCGACGTTTCGAAGGGCCTTCGCTCGAAACGTCGAAATTCTCCTTATATTTTTCAGGTAGTTGCATTCCTACCAACGAAAGCTTGATAATATTATTTGCACTACCTATATAACCTGTTTCATTCAAATTGTTGATATAAAAAATGTTTGTTGCATCGGTGCTGCCGTAATTGGAGCAGAAAAAAAGAAAACACGACCTACCCCAACAAGAGTTTGCAGTTTTTGCAACAGGAAATAGGAAACCCAGTTATTTTTTGCCAAAAAGGAAATACAGGGTTCGTAGCGGTCTTTGAAATCCTTGAAAGTATTTAAATTTGAATGCAGGTCTTTAAGGTTTTTGAAAAGTCTTTGAATTGTGTGAAAACGCGAAGAAAGTCTTTAAAAGTCTTTAAATTCTTTAGTAAGTGTTTGATTACACGATTTCCTAGCTAATAAAGTAGGTTGATTGAAGAGCAAGGTTTTCGCAAAATATCGACGAAAAGGCGCATTTTAGGATGTGATTTGACGGGACTAATTACCAGGTAACAATGGCGCTTACACTCGCAATTTTTCGACAGCTGATTGCTCTGAAAGGTCTTTGAAAAGTCTTTGAAAATAGGCAGAACAACTCTTTGAAAGTCTTTGAATTTTTTTGGTCTTGGAGACTACGAATCCTGAAATATATTATTTTCTCACTCAAAAACTTGTTGATACTATCTCCCGCATGATAATATGCTTAGTGAAATCCACTTTTTACAGAAACTGGTTACTACAGTACAACCAGTAGGGTAACTCGCCCGCTTTATTTTTGGAAGTGTGAATATCCTTCGCAAATGGTGGTAGTCTGTCTGAAGAAGTCTGCGTGTCAGGCTTGAAATAGAGCCTGCTACTGAATCAAAACGGTGATTGTTAATTAGATTACCAAAAACTAGTTTAAAATATGACAATAACGGCCAATTTTCCGCCAATATCTTGAAAATAAATATTCCAATTTTCATTAAACGGCCAGGAATTACATACTAAATAATAATAACGGTTATTGACCGTGTTTATAGACAGCAAAGGCAGTAATTAATGCGGCCAAATGTATACAATTACAAGTACGGACTATCATATTACGTAAACAACAACTTTGATATTACCTTAGAAAGCAAGGCTATTTTTATTTCTGACCAGTGGGAATTTTGCGTACGATTCGTACGCATAAATCCACTTTTTACTTTTTATTGACTTCAGTAACAAGCTCTATTTCATCATAGAGTCTGAGACGCAGGCACTATCTTGTGAGAAAAACTTTTCCCAAAAGTCTCTGAATTATCATTATTGTTTTTCCTAGGCATCATTCTATTCTCTGTCACAGTAGCGGTGATCGTTGCTGCAAGTCTCGTGAGAGATGCAATTCCACTCGAGGATCTCGCGGGACTCACGTGGAAGACTCTTCATGACAAGAAGAAACCTGATTCAGAACCGAATCATGCAGGTTAGCATAAGAGCATAAGATCCCATGTTCGATAAAATTTTTGATTCCAGTATTCAGATACGCAAACCGTTTACAGTACAACATTAACCTCCCCCCTCCCGTCGACAACATTTTCGGGAAAAATTTGTACGACTTGGTCAAAATCCTAGGAAATGTTGGTCAAAACATGACGACACCCCCCCCCCCAATGTTTATGGCTTCGCGACGTCCCTGCGTACAGTTACGTAAGAAGTATTTTGCTTAATTAATTTAAAATTATTAAAAGATGTCAAGTCCAAGATGGCGGACGCAAAGCAACGTAGCCTGCGAACAGGCTCTCAAGCTGAATTGAGAGCCTGCATGGATGACTAATGAATTTGAATATCTGCCCCGTAACGTTCGTTTTTCCAAATATGGAATGTCTATCCTTATATGGCGTTGTTTACAACTTTCGTGCAAACTAAATTTAGACCGTGCAAACTAAATTTAGACCGTACAGTTTGTACTGTTATTCGAAATATAAGATATTCAAGCAAAAGTTTAAATGTTTTAAATACTGTTTTCTCGAAACAGAACACTTCGTGCTTTGAGATAAGATGGCCAAGACCAATTTGATCAGTTAATGTGTTTTTTATGCATAGTGCTTCAGCAGTTGACATATATAGAGCTCAGCGGAAACATATAAATTATAGCATCTGACCAATTAGAATTTCGCGTCACGATTTGAGACGCAGATATTCAAATTCATTAGTCATCGATGCAGGCTCTCAATTCAGCTTGAGAGCCTGTTCGCAGGCTAAAAGCAACTATGCATTATTATACATAACAATGTAATTTATGCAATTTTCGGCGTGATCACAAAGGAAAATTTCAACCAATCATATTCCGCCCCGCGTTGTGCGGGGGCAACTGTACGGCATTAGTGTTGATTAATCGCAGACTGTTTCTCCGCCGCTCCAGGGGGGTCGACTGAGAGCAGACTAAATATTCAACTACTAAGCTTGAAACTTGTGCTACCATTAAATTTTGCGCCCCTAGATTTAGAGTTTAAGTGAATGAATTGGATGTATAAACAAGCTTAAGAGAGAGAAATGCTTATAGTCGCCAGAAAAGGTTGCAGATTCATTGAGGTAACCATTTACAACTCGATTTGTTTGGGATTCATATGTTTCTAGCGACAAAGTCTCTATTTTTTCCGGATTCAAAGTTCGCCCATACGGCTCCAAACGATGATGATTTCCTGTCGGATTAGCTGCATGTGCAAATCGGGCAACATGAATCCGGTACTAAAATATTTCGATTCATTGATTGGTTATAACGAATTTCGCCATTTCGGGAAGCTATTAATTCGTCGTTCTTGTTCAAAGTGACTATAACGTTATCGACGTCATTTCCACGGTCTTATAACCACGTTGGAGCTGATAAACAATATTTGGCTCGATTACATTTCCAATCATTGAGCTAAAATACAGTTATGCCATCTCCAAAGCATGACTCGCTCAAATATTGAAGACTAAAAAGCAATGTCATGTAACAGTCATATGTCAATACTATATATCAATCAATCAATCAATCAATCAATCAATCAATCAATCAATCAAAGTCACAATCATAACCATTTTCCGATTTGTCATGAGGCAAATGGTGTCTCCAACGAAACAACATGAAACTTTAGACTGCATAAATTTGCGCAAGCCGAGTTATCAAACTCATGTCACAGAAGTGGTAAAAGAACATGTGTGATGACTAAATGGTATCTAAACGGCTAAAGGTTTTGTCCAGGGGCGGGTGTTTATTTTTAAATTGATATCTGAGGTTGGGTAAAAAGGTTTTGACTTTGTAAAAGTCGGATCAGCAAAATTTTTACAAAGAAAAACATTTCTTTTCGGTGCCGTCCTGCCTTTTCCAAATCTGAGATTGTACGCAGTGAATAAGGGATTTGTAGAACTATAATTGTGAGTATAATCATTATAAGTTAATTTACAGTTAAATGTTTGGAAAAAAATGTTTTCATATCGCTTGGATTTTTCGCGTCGTTCTCAAAAATGTACCCCAAAAATGGCGAATTTGGCCTTCGTGAGAAAGGCTATGAATTGGTCAATCGTGCTCGGAATGATACAAGAAAGGTATCATTCAATAGCTAAAATCCTAATTTTTATTCATATGGAAACATTGAATCTGCATGTGAAACGTAATATTGAGTACACAAGAGCACACTAATTTTGGATTATCTTTTTTTATACACCCTGTATTTTCTGATTTTCGTTATATGTCTATCCGTTTCAGATGAGCATGAACTGTCGCCTCGTCAAGAGACGGACAGCATGATGCCAAAAGAAAGCAACAGCAAAGTATTGTGGGTAACAGCAAATGGAGACGGCGAGAATGTCTCCACGATTGAGAATGGACGGCTGACCGATAGCGCGGGCGCTGAAGACGTGTTACATCAGACACGAAAGGAGAAGATTACCCTAAACTGTGGTACAGCTTGCCTCTTGTTCACACTTGCTGTGGTGTGGATATATTATAGGTAGATCTACATGAAGTAGATTAGATGATAGATTGTGACCGCATGGCATACGGTCTCGGGGTGTTTCTATTGAACTCATTTAACGTCCAAAAAACAGTTATAAAACCGTTTTTCCCAGCCCGCGTGTAAAACGTATAAAAGCCGTAAAAACGCCTCTTGGGAGGAGAGAGTGGGGAGACGTATTGCCATGCATTGGGTCACTGAGATTTGTTTGGCCGATTTCACTACGTCTACTGGATGTCGCGGGATGATGTCTTCGGCGGGTGTTTTATCATTTGTCATTGAGATCGGCAAAACAAATCTCTGTGTAAAGAACTGTATTTTATGTTTTTTTGTCCAGTATATTGATATATGTTTGTCTGTCTATTTTAGTGTACCTATAGTATACATTTTATTGTTTCCGTAATCCGTATAACTGTACGCTGTATTTATTATTAGTTGTACGCTGTATTTATTATTAAATATTAAAATATTATTTTGTCCATAATTATAGTAATATTGTATCATGAGCTCTAGTCCTGTATAAAGTAATATTATTATGCCCAGATAAGCTGATATTACACATAGATGTTTTTAATAAAGTATAGCGACAAGTGCTTGCTGACTGCAAGTGTATTCGCGGCTTTTCCTTACGACTTTTTCTGAACAATTTATATTCTCTCGTTTTTAACATGTTTTTTTCGCTGCTCTTTCGATCGTATTGTTTCTTTGAAGAACTGGTATTTAAATCAGTTTCTATACACTAAATGTATTTGCTAGCCTGTCAAAGTTTTTGGGAGTTTTATTGCTGTGTCTTTTTCCCTTTCAAAGCGATCAATTTGCGCTGTTTTCTGGTTCGCAAAACTCTTGTAATTTTTGTGCCGCCATTTTTGCGAGTCGCGGTATAGCTTATCCTAGTTCCAGAGGCTCTTATTAAAAGAACGCGAAGTATGGAAGTGAGATTTGCAATCGATTTGACCAGAGGCTCTTCGCGTCGCATTTATTTCGCCTCGCCGTTCTTTAAGAGCCTCTGGAACCAGGGTATAGGTATAGCTCAACTGCAATGCCATGCAGTGAGTCTATTATTGTTACTTTTTAAATTTCTATTTAGTGTTCAATATCAAACACAACATCAACTGCATAATACTCCTTCATATTAAATAAACATAATAACCATTCATTATTTACATTGTGAATTTTGTAATGTGTGATTGAACAAAAGTGATTGTGTTGTTTAAAGTTCTAATTGTTGTGTAGTTATATACCATTTTCAGATGAGTGGATTTTGGTTGAATACATGCAATCTAAATGATGATTTGCCAACTCTCTAACCATAGATCTGTCAGGTATCTTTTGAGCCATACCGTAAATTGCACCCTACAAAATAATTATACGTAAAGGATTTAAAAGGCACCTTTCACGATGATGTCACATAATTACAGCGACCAGAATTAAAACACGTTATTTTTCACCCTGCTCGGTTTCCTTTGTTCTTATCGGGGAATATATTCAATATTCCCCTCTAATCAATTTCCCTCTAATAATCCCCTCTAATATTCACCTGCAATGTCTTTGCAGCACAAAAAATGAGAAAAAACAACATCACGAAGGCAATATGGCATTAAGAATTATTTCTATTCTGACTCATTAGCGCGACCTCGCAATGTGAAAAATAAGTACGTTATATTATTTTGAGGCACCTCGGGGATATGCATGTGTTTATTCACCTCGGCGCTGGGCCCCTCGGTGAATAAATCATATCCCCTCGTTGCCTCAAAATAACCTATACTTATTTTAGGCTCTGTGTATTTGAGGTGCGCCCCGCTCCCCATGCCATGCACATCCCTATGGGAAAGGTTATAAGAGAGATCAAAGTGAAAATTTGATAAATTTTTATGTGTTGCTCATGGGTCTACACTTTGCAAGAAACTTTGTCTGTAAAATTGAAAAACTGATTGGCATTCATCTCTGTATCTCAAATTCACTAATAATTCATGAGTAAATTAGGCAATTTCTTTTTTGCTCACAAGAGAATACTGTATACCAGGTGAAGCATATTTATCCTGTCCTAGACTGGATCAAAATTAATTCAGTCTTGGAGTGGATCAAAATTAATTCACCTCACTTTGAGTGGTGATTTATTCGTATGAGATGTCATTTCAAATCCTCCAATTTGGACTCTATAGTCCAACCTCGTCCCCAGAACGAGTTTGATTCTAGTCCAGTCTACTATAGTCGGATTTGAAATATTACGTCGAGTACCCTTTTATTGCAATCTCTCGAAAGAAACTTTGTAGAAATGTAGACTTTCGCAAAGTTCTTTTTCTTTATCGAGGGTCGTCGCTCGCCTCCTCTCGCACTAGACCCTTCATCGCTCGCATTTGATAATTATGGTAAAGAAGTCAAATTAGAGAAGTACGTCGACTTGTGGTAAGTCTATAGTAATGTAATGAAGGGCAAAATTGGATATGAGTCGTACAATCATAATTCACAAACACACTGAAACATGCGCAGTTCATTGCAATAATCATGTAGTTGACTTTAATCGGATAAGTTCTAAATATATGTCAAACTTATATAGTGAATTTTGTCCCACAGCACTGTATAAAACGCAAATATTTCAATTTTGGTTGTAGATTCATGTTTCGCCCTAACCGCTGATTCTAACTCATAAACAGTGTGATATTAATGTATATTCTCAATTTTCGGCATGTACTTTATGTAGCACTACACGAAATATATACCCTAACCCCAGGACCCCACCATAACCTTGACCTATTACACAATGTTTGTACACATCTCTGAACGTAAAATATGGTTTTACCAACTCAATGTTGAGTTTGTGTCGTAGTAAATTACCAAAAGTTTATTTCGGCGTCGTTTACAACATTGAACTGGGAGAGGGGGTGAAGAAATTTCTTTTGTCAATGTACACTAACTTTGCAATATTGGCTGGAATGGCCTCAAGGATTATGTCCAAGTTTTAGTTATAGAAATTTCGTGAAATGTTGAAAAATCAACTTACCAC